CGCCTCTGGGATTGTAGTTGCAGCTCCTTGCCACTAGGCCACCAGAGCTCCCCTATCACTTGACAGTTTTAACCTGGCACATCATGGATGAGGGACGTCATGCACTAGGTCAGGGGACAGATGATGTACTGAGAGAAAATACCCGTACATCTAATAGATGAATAGCTGTCCTTCTGGGCGCCCCAAATTCACGCTGCCTGCATGTGGAACAGCGCTGTTAAGATCAGTAACCAGCCTTGGGCTCCACTGGTTTACCCATCATCAAATGAGCTTCTGAGATACAAAAACATACATCACATCTTCTGCTCAAGGATTGAAGGGATGTTTTCTCCAACCTGGCTTTAAAGGTGGTCATTATGATGGAGCAAATCTCCAAAGCATCTTGCCTCCGCAAAGTCTATGAACTTTGATAAACGTCAATGGTTGTGGAGGGGTCAGGCCTCTTGTTCACAGGGTCGCTGTGAGTCGTGCTCGACTTGAAGGCAATCAACAACCACCACCTTTGGATTGGCACCTTAGCTCCTTACCACGTGGCACCTCAGCTCCTTACCACTAGGCCACCAGAGCGCCCTTTGTTTTTTATTTTATTTTTCTTTTTTATCTTATTATTTTGTGTGTGTACCATCAAATCAGATCTGACTGGTACAGGAGGAGATTGTACCTCCTTCTCCAGCAGAGCATCTGGTGGATTCAAACCGTGCTCCTCTGGGATTGCAGTGCAGCTTCTTGCCACTAGGCCACCAGAGCTCCCCAGAGCACCCTTTGAATACGGGTTTTTAGCAGTAAGTTCAAATGATGGTGTCCTGCTATCAGATGACGGAGTAACCCGTGTGGTCCTTGATCTCTGTAAGTTCGGTCGAGCTGGAAATGGTACAGGGCTAAGCAGTCTTCCAGCGGCTAAAGCCCGTTTGGGCTGAATACAGAGGCCAAAAGCAAACGCCAGTGCCCCATTATTTGTTTTCTAGAAAGCATTCCTTGACACTTTTTTGTTACTTATGTTTTATTATTCGTTTTAGTGAAAGTTTACAGAGACTGAGGATTTCTGCTCATTCATTGTTGTCTTTTTTCTCCCTACCCTCCCCTCCCTCCCCCCAATTCACTCTTCTTCGAAAAGTAAAAGAAAAATTCTTTCATTGTTCTACAATCCTTCACCCCTAGTCCACTCCATTATGCAGCGGTTGAAAACACTGGGACACTGGAAGGTTGAATGGTTGGTACAAAGCTACCCCGTAGAGCGACGCGTAAGCGTTTGCACTCTGCCATGGCCTTTACTCACAGACCTATGCACTTTCCTGTTAAAAGTGCATCAAGGACAAACCGCCACCTAATTCCCTCCACATCCCTTGACCACCCCTGCTGGAATGTTCTTTGTCCTGGGAAAACGAACCATCAGCAGTCCAGCGACGTATTAGCTCTGGACCATGTTTCACTGTTTACATCCTCCAGCCGCTTCTAGGCCCTTCTGTCTTCATCTGTCTTTCTCCTCCCTCTTCTAAGGGCGGCTGTAAATCCCTTTGTCTCCCAGGGTGGCCCCAGCCAGCAGAGAGCCTGGAAACAGAGTGGAGGACACGGCTGGGCCTTCTGCTTCTAGATACAAAGGTGCACACTCCACACGCCTAAAAAATAAAATAGAGGAGGTGGGCAGGGCACTCCCGCGGGACCGCCTCTCACCCACTTGCAGGTGATTGGTTATGGCTTCTCACGCGCAGACATTCTCTGAAGGGAACCTCTCTGTTTTTCTTCTGAAGATCAAACTTGAAAAGGCAAAGGGAATGTAAAGCAATGAAATGTTAGCTAACATGCATGGGAGGGGCTCCCCAGATGCGTGTTAGTCTCACTAGCAGCCTGTCACCTGTGTGTGTGGCCCCCCTTTGCCCCAGCTGCCTGCCATCCTCCTGTGCTGTGCCTCACCCCCCAGCTCCCTCTAATGCTCCGCCCTCTGTCTGCCTCCCTCACCTCCTGCACCTGGGCAGGTGCCTTGCCTTGTTCTCTGAGCACCTCGCTCCACAGCAGGAGGGTTGGGGGGAGAGCATCACAGCCGCAGGTGTCGGTGAGCATGACAGAGCCCCCACCTGCCACTGAGTGGCCACTCCACGTGTCCAGAGCAGACCTGTGCCCCAGGGAGGGGCAGGTGAATGGCTGACTTCAGCAGGGAGTCACCTGGACTTTCTTCCACAGGACCTTTGGGTCAGCTCAGAAGACCACCCTACTGTTAACTGCCACATACATTACCCACGTGTACCACCCAGGTCCCCCTCTGGCTTTGAGTCCCTTGTTAGCAAATAAGCACAGAAAGATGGCCTTTGGAATGTCTCGTTAACTCTGCCTCAGATGGTGTAGAATTAGGCTGGTAACGGGGCCCAAGTGCTACCCTCGTTTCTGCGTCCTAGACAGGAATTGGAATGTGGGCTCATCCCAAGGCCGGAGAAATGCAACTCAGGTCAAGCTTTGGTCTTCTAAACTCTAAATTATGACTCTAAATTAGTTTCAGCTAACTGATCATGTTGTTGTTATTATTATTCATTATTATTTTATTGTATCTTGGGCAACAAGAATGCATGCACGACTTGGAGAATGCAGTCAATGTCACAGAACTGTGCCTGGAGAGTTTGCTAAGCTGACATTTAAAAATAAATTGTATGTACACACACACACACACACACATTTTCACTACCAACAGATCAGTCCTGGCTGGCTTCTGGGTGTTTGTGGGGTTTCTTGTGTGTGTGTTTTGGTGGAGATGACGGGAACAAACCCTGGTCTCCTACAGCTCCTGGTTGTTTTGTGTGTACACTCAGTGTCGCTGGTTTAGGACTCAAAAGAGTCTGTCCTCTGCAGCAAACCTGCATTTCCAACCACAGGCACAAAATCAGAATCTGCATTTTAAAAAGACACCCGAAAATTCAAGAAGATTTGAACCAGGGATTCAGCCTGGTTCAAATCTCCTTGAATCCTGGCTTGCCCAAGGGAAAGTGGTAGTTTTCAGTTGGGTGTTTGGACAAGATTTAAAAAAGAGGAGTTAGAGAAGCGAAAGTTTCAAACAGGTTACACTTTCCGAATCAAGACGGTCGAGTCACATTTCGTCAGAAAGGGAGGAGGCTCTTAACGATCCCGGGGTCTCGACTGTGTCCAGGTTATTTGTGGTGTCAGAGCAGAGCACAGAGCACAGCCACACTTGGGGTTTCTTCACTTTTGCTTTTTTCTCCTCTTGGTTCCTTGTTACAGATCTCCTCTAGCCCACAAACATGCTCACTACTGAAAACAAGAGAAAGAAAATCCGAGAAAAAAAGCAATTACAAAGTTGGAAGGAGGGTATGGATTCTAGGATCTTCAAGAACCAAAACTACTTTTATTTTTATATTGCTGTTGGTTTTGTTTTCATGAAACCTCTCTCGTGGGTGGTAAATGACCCCCCAGCACCTGGGGCTCGAACTGTCCCGCAGAATCCTGCTGCTCCTCCCAGCCCCTCACCACTCCTCCCCTCCCTCCTCCCGAGCCCCTCACCACTCCTCCCCCTTCTCCCCCCCTCCTCCACGTCGTCCTCCCTCTTCCCCTCTCCTTACTCCTCCTCTACTCCTCCCCTCACAGTATTCTCCTCACTCCCCTCACAGTCCTCCCTCCCTCCACCTTGGGCAATGACTTATCTTCCTGACCTTCACCCCTTTTGTACTGGTCTCTTCAGACCTTTGTGGTAGCCTCTGTGAGTGTTTCTGTGTTTCTGAGGATGTCGGGCCGCATCTCCGCTTCCTGGCAGCTGCTGCCCAGCATGTTGGGCCGAGGCGCGAACCCTTCCTCAGAGCAGGTGGTGAGAGGCTCGTGTCGACCGTGGCAGTGGGGCCACCGTGGCAGCTGTCACCATGTCTGGGCCGTGGCACGCTGGCCCAGTGAGTGTCAAGGCAGCACTGTGGCCTGCAGGCAAGCAGCCAGCCAGGCCCTGCTTCAGAGATGCCCTCAGCAGTGACCACAGCCAGCCATCGGTCAGCAACCACGCACGTTCATCACCTGAGCCATGTAGGGATCCCACCTGTGGGCAGGGGGAAGTGAGAGAATGAGACTCTGAGGAGTGCGATGGGAAGTGTCTGTAAAAGCCAGGTGGGCAAGGGAGCAAGAAGCTACACTGCAATCCCAGAGGTAAGAGGTTCAAATCCACCAGATGTTCTGTTGGAGAAGGAGGGACCGTCTCCTCCTGTACCAGTCAGATCCAATTTGATGGCACACGTGCGCACACACACACACACGCACAAATTAATAATAATAAAGCTTTTAAACGATCATTTTTAAAAAAAGGCCAAGTGGGAGATGCCTCTGACAGGGGCACGAAGTGTGGCCCCAGCCCCCAGTGGTCAGCTAAGCCCCCGGCTGTGTTGTGCTGGCCGGGCCCCTTCCCTCCCCTGTGCACACAGTGGGGTGTCTGACACTGACCAACTCCCCTCTGCTTCCTTTGCAGCGGACCCCCTGGTAGGCAGCATCGCCACGCAGTACATGACCAACAGGGCAGAGCACGACCGGATGGCCAGACAGTGGACCAAGCGCTACGCCACCTAGGCCGGCCCAGCGCACGGCACACTCACCAAGTGCATCGGCCCCTCCACTCCCTCACCCCCTTATTTTTATCAGATCTGGAACGTTCTGTGATGGTCTGCACCTCCCTCCCTCCCTCTGGCCTCCTCCTCCTCCCTCTCCAGGCCCCCTTTTTTTGATTTCTTAACTTGAAAGATTGCCATTTGTTTTGCTTTTGGACTTTTTCGTTTTCAGCGCAAAGACGTTGGACCTGTAATAGTAAAAGCTTTCTTACGAAGCTTTGTGTTCCCGTGTGGTTTGGGTTGGGTTTGGGTTTTGTTTTGGTTTGTGTTTTTTTTTCGTTGTTTGTTTCTCTGGGTTTCTTTTTTTTTTCCCCATGCGTTTTTTTTTTTGGGGGGGGGAAACCATGAATTCAGAGTTCTGTCTCGTTTCTACTTAACTGCAGTGCTTGGGGTTAATTTTTTTGTACTGGAGTCTTTATCGCTGGGTGCATGCTACTGGGAACAAGTTTTTGTACAAAAGCTTAAATGAGAATCACTGTGCATTACTGAGACTCTTGTCTGTCACGGCCTCCTGTCCCCCATGCAGAAGGCTGTTGAACAAAAATAATATGTATTTTGATTTACTTCAAGTGCTTGTACATTTCTTAGGGACCTGCCACTTTTGACTGTGGATCAGTTGATGTACACTTATATTATTAAGGCACTCAATAAATCACTGTGGCTGATAAACAGACCCTGTGACCTGCGTGTTTGCCCTGCGTCCCAGAGACCAGCCAGGGAGACCTCGTGCCCGGTGAGCCTTGTCTAACTGGATCACAGGCCCCGGTGTGTGTGGGATTCCCACAGCTCTGGCGACAGTTCAATGGTTCCAGGGTAGTTTTAGCAGATAGCTCTCATGTCCACATATGGCTTGGATGTTACTGGACTTAGGCTTTCTCTCACCACCCTCTCTACCCAAAACCATATGGTTCCAAACATAACCTGCTAGCAAAAGATGACCCAGCTATTCCACAGCGTGGAATAAACTCTGAGAATATATGAGAACTGAGGCACAAACTGAGATCTGTACACCAGTGTTCACAGCAGCATTATTCACCATCACAAGAACATGGAAACAGCCCAAATGTCCAACCACAAACGAATGGATTGAGAAATTATAGTACATTCACACAATGGAATACTATGCAGCACGCAGGAGCAATAACTTTGTAAATTATTACCTAACTTAGGAGGGACTGGAGAGCGTTAGGCTGAGTGAACTAACTCAGTCCCATAAGGATAAATATTGTATAAAACTTATTGTAGAATGAGTATAAGGATCCAGGAGGGGTGGATGAGGCTGGAAGCAGAGGGATGTGGATGTGCAGGGGGAAGAGGGGATTCATCATTGGGTTGTACAAGTTGATAGGTGGAGGGTGAGGGAAATTGAAAGAATATGTTCGAATTTGTATTCGAATTTTGTAAATAAACTAGTAGAAAAAATAATTTTTTTTTAAAAGTGAGGTCTGTGCTGAACAAGTGATCAACCATATTCAAGCCACCTCTCTCTTCCTTTTTTTCTTTTGAACCTGAGATTGTGAAACCACCAAGTTTTCTTCCATCATCTCAGTGGAAAAAAGTAAACCTTGGCTGTACCGGTCACGGTCAGCACATGCAGACCTTCAGCCTGGTGGAGCTGTGCAGCTACGAGGGGCAGGGGAAGCGCGTGGGAGGTGAGAAGGCCAACAGGCTGAAGAGGTGATGGTATCTGGGCCCCAAGAGGAGGCAGCCTGGACGCTCCCGCCTCCACTAGTTACTGTGACCGCCAGTGGACAGGCCTAGGAGGCCAAAGCTACTGGCGTCACTGCTACTACTGATAGGATCTGCCAGTTGACGTCGTTCACCTCCAGCTTCTTAAACATTGCAAATAGAAAGCTCGAGAGAGGTGCCTTTGTTGTTTGCTTTCTTTGTGATTATAAGAAAACCTAACAAAGTTCTATTTACATACTGGAAATGCACTTCAAACAGAAGTACCCAAGCATTTTTTCTCTCTTTATTACCCTGGTCTGTCCACTTGCTGTACAGAGGTAACTCGTGGTTGCTGTGAGGCAGAACACTGTGACACTGAAGTGTCAACTGCAAGTATGGTTATCCATGGTGGGCAGTCTTTGGTGGAACTTCCCGATTAAAACAAGCTGGGAAGCAGGAGTGGCATCCATTTCCGTAAATAGCTTGCCTCCGGAAAACCCTATGAACCTTGAGAAAGGATGACCGTCACGCAAGTGTTGAGGACTTTCGTTCAGGTCACTGTGAGTCGCCTACAACTACGACTCGATAGCACTTAACAACCACACAATTACAGTTTGGTTGGTTGGTTTTTTTCAAGGACAATTTACATTTATTGGCTGGTGATTCTGAAGACATATGTCAGAACCATCAGAAGTTAGAGTCTGTTGGGGAAACCATTTCTTGGCGGCAGATAAAGGTGGTCCGTGAAGAATAACTGAAGCATCATCTACAAGCTGAGGCCTTGACTTTGGACAAAGAGCTAGTGGGTGCACCTGGTCCTTCTTACCTGGATGGAGGCTCCTGAGGTTCTGGGACTTGTGCTTAATGTGTTTCCACAGCTTCCCTTGGTTGATATGCTCGTAAATCATGTCCACTCCTTGATCGAACGCCCGCTTGAAGAACAGGGCGCCCACGGCGATGGTGAGGGTGACCTTGGAGGTCCTGCGGAACAGTAAGGAGAACAGATTGGCCGTGAACGTTGGGCCCGCCGTGGGTCCTTAACTCACCAATTACAGTGTTCTCATTCACCTACTTCAGAACCTTTCCCGGCATGCTCGAACACCATCGAGTCTCTGCTGCATCCACTCATCGCTACGCTAAAGCATAAAGAACCACAGACAAGGGGAGCTCTGGTGGCCTAGTGGCAAGGAGCTGCAACTACAATCCCAGAGGCACACGGTTCGAATCCACCAGATGCTCTGCCGGGAAAGGAGGGGCAATCTCCTCCTGTACCAGTCAGATCTGATTTGACGGTACACTCACACAAAAAATAATAAAATTTAAAAAAAAAAGAACCACAGACAACACGTAAATGAGTGTGGCTGGGTCTCAATAAAACTCTATTCACAGACAGTGGCCAGGTAGAGCCCTGGGGTGGTTGACCTCTGATTTAACCACCTTAGAGTGGAAAAGGGGAATTAAAAGAGACAGCTATCAGCTACTCCAGATTTTTATAACCTGTTTGTTGTAACAAACTGGCTGGTCTAGCAAGCACTGTTTTGTTGGTTTTGTTCCCTGTTACAACCTTAACAGCATGTATGACATACCAGTGTGAGCTCTCATGACCTAGTGGTAAGGAGTTGTGCTTGTCAACCCAAAGGCACATGGTTCAAATCTACCAGCTGCTCTGTGGGGGGGGAAACGATGGGCAGTCTCCTTCTGTGTGATTTACAACCTCTGAAAACCCACTAGAGGGTCGGCTGTGAGTCAGTTCTGACTGCCCAATCCACCACAACAACCTACAGTATTTCAGCAAATCATTTGCTGTTGGCATCCTTCTCACGCCCACCTCAGAAACACAGATCAGATTTATAAAGATACTGTCGATCAAAGCAATGATCATGAAAGCTTTATATTGAAGCCGTCAGTGATGTGAAACTTAGGACGGAGTCATTGGAACGGAACACTGGTGTAAAATAAAGTAAGATTTAACTGATAGAATCCCAGCCGATGGTTTTGTTGGGGGTTTTTTTATAAACTACTCAGAATGTTTTATTGCCTATGGACTTCCTCAGCACTCTGGCTTTTATTTTCACTTTAATACTCTAGAGTTTCAAATTCCACCCAAACGCGTTGAGCCATTGTAATACACAATTTGATGAAGTTGCCAATTTTTTTTCACTTTTGACTGATAAAACCAGACCCATGATATTAATACTGACTTTTATAGACAATGTTTAAATTCTGTTTGTGTTTCTTTTAAAAGGCCAGCTCCCTTGGACACACACTTTAAATAATATATCCAAACTATTAGACATTATATCCCAGATCTAGTACTTCAGATTGTTTTTAAATATGTGTTATTTAAATGGCCAGAGATTAAAACAGTGCTCAAAGGAAATCCTGTCATAAAATTCATGTTTACTTTCCTCTGAGCCATTTTTAACTTTTATGCCAATCTGTGATGTGAAGAGGCTATAAAATTTCTCATTTTTATGAATTCTAAATATGAAAAATGTGCCCTGCACTTGAAATATAAGACCTTAGGGAGCTCTGGTGGCCTTCCGGTAAGGAGCTGCACCACCAACTCAAAGGCACAAGGTTCGAATCCACCAGCTGCTCTGTGAGATAAAGATGGGCAATCTACACCTGTCCAGGTTAAAGCCTCTGAAAACCTGCTGCAGGGACAGCACTATGTCGCTTCAGACGCAAAGGCAATGAGTGAATAAAAGAGAGAAACTTTGACATTGACTGTGGAGATTAATAAACTTCACACAGGTTAGATGACAGCTCATGTGGTAAATTTCTTTTAAATCAATAATTAGAGCAGACAGTGCAATTCCAGTAAGTTTTCAAAGATGTTTGTAAAGTAAACTGAAGGTGTAGTTTAGCATGCTAAATGTGATAGGTTCTGCTAATAATTATGAGGAAAGTATCTTAGAGCTTAGAAATTATTTTATAGGTGCCAATATTTAACTTTCCTAGTAATGATTGCTAGTTATGGTCAGCCAGATGGGTTGACATGGTGACTGCAGTCTGTCAGAGAGTTGAGGGTGTCACCGGATAGGACTGGGTTCAGATCTCCTGTTCACAGGGTCCCTGTGAGTCATGCTCGACTCGATGGCACCTATCAACAACCTGGCGTTTCGCAGCTGTGTCTAATTGAATGCGGGCAGCTCTACAGGCCTGTTGGTCCTCCAGAAAGTAAACCTTGAGATGCTCATTGATGTTCAAGAACTCCAAACAGTGGGACCTTGATTGACTGTGAAAGTGCAAATGAGTCCACCTTTGCTGCTTTTCAGTAAGAATTCATTT